GTGGGAAGGCAGAATCAGGTGTCTGTGCATTTGAGGGTGGTTTTATTCCTCTGTGTATTCCTTTTCTGTGTTTTAGGGGAAAAAACACCACATGAAAGCACAGGATAGGAAAATAGCTGATAAATAGAAACTATAATATTAGCATTTAAAATTTTCACAGTCTTTTTTGGTTTAGGTGCCATGCTTATCAAGATTAAGTCAATTGCAGATGACTTTTATCTTCTTAAATCTTTCTAGTTCAAGAAGTACATATTATACCTTTATTATTTACTATACTAGTGGCCTGGTTCATTAAAAAAAAATAAAACAAAAGGGAATTAATTAGAGGAAATATTTTAACACATTTCCTACCGCTCAGGAGTTTTCTCGTGTTTCGTGCGCCATCTGTTAAGGACCGCTTACGAGTGTTCTCGTTTGTCACGCCCTTGGAAAAAGGAGCGAATCTAGAGACTTATGTAAATTTTGTTTGGTCCCTCTTCATAGAGGAAAATGTTTTATGCAGTACCATACGTTAAAAAAGTACTAGGAACTTTAATTGTTTTTGTAAATAAAAATGTTATAATTATTGAAAAAACAACACCTAAAGTGTGCCCATCCGCGCTTCGAAATCGCAGGAGACCCAGACCCAGCCGGCCCCACCCCCGTCAAGCCCTGCTGGGCAGGGGGTGCAGCCTCAGGTCTCCCGCCCCCCGCCAGGTGCCACGCAGCCTCAGTTCCCTGCTGATTGGTCGTTAGGCGTCACTACGTGATGACCATTTTCATATTAGCCTTTTATTATGATGATTAGAGAGAAATACATGCTCGCTATAAGCATTTCAGAAAGAGCAAGCTTAAAGAGAAAAATAAATAATCAAATCACCCAACGGCTATAAAAGCACAATTGTCAATGTGGTGGGTGAAGCTGTCTTCGTTGGAAACTGTGTATGAAAATGCTGGATGGTCCATCCGTGTGAAAATAAGCCCAGAGAAGGATCTGAAAGGAGATGACAAAGCGAGAGGGGTGGCAGGGGGTCCCCACAAGACAACAGGGAAAGTGGAAAAGTTTCAGCCTAAGAAAGAAGAGGAAGATGAGAGACCAGAGCAGCAGGGCAGGAAGCTGCAGCCTCTGCTGCGGTCTTGTTTTCAGGGCAGGGCTGTTTCATGGGCAAGTTTACGTTTCTGGAGCGCGCGCGCGCGTGCACACACAATCTTCCCCAACGTCCACACGTACCACAGCCTTGTCTATAGGTTCCTGGTCATCAGGGGAAAGGCTGAGCCAATATGAGACAAAAAGAAGCTTCCTATGTGGATTAATTCAGCACAGCTGGGAACCCTGAGCCAGTGCTGAGCTTGAGAAGGAAAACAACCGCCCCCCCCGCCCCCGCCCACCCCGGGGAATGCACAGAAGACTGGGAGCTCTGTACTTCAGACTCGAGGAAGGAGTGCAAGTGCTCTTCAAATGCGCTTCAAAGTAACTACCGAGAAAACGCCTCACTGAGTGTACACTACGGATGCAATCACATATTCTTTTTTCACCAATCATAATCCTTTGTCATGTTATTAAACATTTTTCATAAAAGGTGAGTAATTCCCTCACACAGACCTTCACTATTACTCCACTGGCCTGTATTGTTGTTTCTCATTTCCCATCCTAATAGCAAACACTGAAGTTCCTTGTACGTAAATCTCTCTTGGAATTTCAGAGGCGCCTACAGGAGAAATGCAGTTCTTGAGACACAATGCAAAATGATGCCATCGAAAGTACCAGCTCACACCTTTCAAGTCCCAAGTAGCTACAACTTTAAAAAACTTTGTTAACCTGGTTTTTCAGCATCTCACTAACTGTTTCATGCAAATGATTTAAACTTTTTTTAAAGCCTGTCATTTGCACATCCACTTTTGTGAAGTCCCTACTCCAGTCCTTTCCTATTTGTCATCGCCTGTATTTCTTTGTATTTGCTCAACTTACATGAACTATTTATTCTTAAGGCTATTAATCTTTTTAGTATTGTATTTGTCCACATCTTCCCAGTTTATCTTCATTTTTCTTTATATAGTGCTCTGCTATACAGTTTTGCTTTTTTATGTAATCCAATTTATCAAAACTTAACTCATTAAGTGCTATGGTAATTAAACGGCAAAAACCTATCTACCTTAAAAGTTCTGATTATAATACATTAGAATTTGTTGTCAAGAACCACACTAAAATGTAAGATTATTTCATTATTCAACATGTGTGTGTGTGTGTGTGTGTGTGTGTGTGTGTATATATCTTAGCAATAAAAGAAAGAGTTACTTACCGAATCCAAAAAGCACAGGTAAGACCCTGAGCTCTGTGCTATTGCTTGGTTTTTAGAATATCCGACTGTTTAAAAAGAAAACAAAAGCTCTTTTATGATTCAATCTTCGATGGTACTCTTGTTCATAAAACTAAGTGTAACATGTACTACAGGAATACTGGGAGCACTGCGCTGCCAAGAGGGGGTAAGGTTAGCCGTAGGAGGAAGGGGAGGGAGAAAAGCAGGCTCCATGTTTAGCGGCTGATACAATAAGCACGATGCTAACCCGAGAATGGCCACCAGCACCAGGGCCGCGTGGGAGCTCTAGGCTGCCCAGGGCAGGTAAGCTCCGCCCGCTTCTGCAGGAACTGCTGTTGGGCTGAGGAGAAAGGGCCAGCCGGAATGGCTTCTGAGCAGGGAATGCTGAGCAGAAATTAACGCTGGGCAAGCTCAGTCTGGGTGCTGAGGGCAGGGCAGATTGGAGGAGGTATTTAGTCCCAAAAGAAGGGGCTGAGGAGACTTTAAGGGGCACAACAACCACTCTCCCTAGAGAGGAGGTTGCTGACACCCGAGTCATGTTAACTAGACAGTTACAGATTCGGTGCCACCAAGAAAAGTGACACAAAGCAAAACAGATGTGTGCAAAGTTAACACACTCAATCCCTCTGGTACTCAAAACCAAGTCAACCTGGAGAAGGTGGTAGGTGCCCAGCGGACACTAGCAAAGTGGTTCTGGCCACACCCGAGGTACTTCCAGATTTATTGCTAATGGGAGAGCACCTCTCCAAGGTGGAGAGAGAGAGGGCAGGTCCTTCCTGTTAGCTGCTCTGGAGCACCAAAGTCAACCAGCTGCAACAGAGAAGAAGGGACAATTAACAGCCACCTGCCCTCACTCTGGTCATCAAAGGCTGACCCAGGGCAGTGCTGTTTTCACACAGGGTAGCAGCTTAATTTCTAGCTTTAATCCCAGAGCTCAGCCAACCCAAGCCAGTCAGCATAAGGGTCCCAGATTTCAACAAACTACAGGATAACAAGGCAGAGAAGAAAGTGCAGAGGCAGGCAGAGCGAGGGGCTCCTGACCCCTGGGGACGGCTTAGCAGCCATCACCGAGACAGCTGTGGCTAAATCTCCATCATCACTGCAAAGCGAGGCAAGCCAGAGAAAGACCTCATGGGAATCAAAACCAAAGAGCAGCACGTGGAAACTGAAACACAGGAAGAGACTTTCCACAATCACATTTAAACTGTGAGTTCTGTTTAAAAAGTCGCGCATTAGAATTGGGTTCGGGAGGGAAAATCAAACCCAAGCGTTTGAGAGATGAAGGAAAACCCTGCTCACTAAGGACCTGTAAGTTTCCCACAATGAGTCTTCTGTTTGGCAAAGACGAGGAATTTGCTTTAATATTATTGCCTCGAAGAAAGTCAAATGTTTGTGCCAGGGCCTGATGTTTGGGGAGGCCCGGCCCTTTGTGAGGGGAGCCGGTTGTCATGGTCACAGCAGAAAAAACTCAGGCCACAGTATGGCATCAACATTCCTTACTCCTGGAGAAGAGGGTGGGATTGTGTTTTATTTTTATTTTAGCAAGTGATCACATTATTAAGAAATGTTTTGCTCTACTGTGATAGAAAATGATAATAAATGAACCTTAATCCAGTTAAAGTAACCCAGGAATCCTGAAAATAGATACTCTGGATCTATGTCATCCAGTATTTCCTATTTAAGAAAATACTGTTACAGGAAAAGATGTCCTTTCAGACATAATCAAATTAACTCCGTTTTGTTATGTGTAATATAGGATCTGCCTTACCTACTTTCAAAGACAGCAGGATGACTCCGTTTTCCCCCCCACAAAATTACAACAATCCTTTTGTCATTAGAATACATTCAAACGTGATATAACTCGTTATATCTAATCAATAAAAAGTATTTTATGAAAGACAAAACGTTTTTATTGATTTTTTTTTTAAGAGAGAGAGGGAGAGAGAGAGGCACATTGATTTGTTGCTCCACTTGTTTATGCACTCATTGGTTGATTCTTATATGTGCCCTGACTGGGGGTTGAACCTGCAACCTTGGTATATCTGGGGACACTGTAACCAGCTTAGTAAGTGGTCAACTTAAGTGTTACTCAGGATGCTTTTCAACAGGATTTAAAAAACACAAAACTACCTATGTACATAAGGTGATTAAAAAAACCATGCCGAGACCGGTTTGGCTCAGTGGATAGAGCGTCGGCCTGCGGACTGAGGGGTCCCAGGTTCGATTCTGGTCAAGGGCATGTACCTTGGTTGCGGGCACATCCCCAGTGGGAGATGTGCAGGAGGCAGCTGATCGATGTTTCTCTCTCATCGATGTTTCTAATTCTCTATCTCTCTCCCTTCCTCTCTGTAAAAAATCAATAAAATATATATAAAAAAAATAAATAAAATAAATAAAAAAACCATTCATTACAGCTGAATAATAAGCTAAGCATATGGTAACTGACCTCCTCTGGGAGAAGGAGAATCGTGCCCTCCAATGACTACGAGGATACCGGAATCTTCTAGCTTCACTTTCCATTTTTCAATGATAGCCATAGACTTGTCCTGAAAGCAAGAAGGCATTGGCAGGTCAGGAAACTCCCATCAGAGCAGTCCAACGTGACTTGCACGGGGGAATTGTCAACGGGAAGTTCTTAAGTACCTTACTGGCATCATTAAAAACCGAGAGCTCCATGGAGCCTTCGAAGTCCTGCTGCAAAACAGACCTCAAGCACTCGTCCAACCAGGGCTCCGCATTGTGGACGGGGAGGATCACAGACTGGAATCCAGAGAAATAGGTTATCAAATAGTGTGAACACCGAACACACTCATTTCCCGCAGGACCACGCGTGACAAAATAACCCAAAACCAGGCTTCCAGGGAAAGAATGTGCGGACACAGTCTACACCTTCTCTCCAAGTTCTCCAATCTCTGGTTCCAGGAGATGTATTTCATGTTACATGTCCCTGAATTGGTTTTTGGGACTCTTTTGAAAAGGAAACAAAAATCTGAAAGGCTTCAAAAATGTTCCCGATTCAAGGGCAAATTCATGTTTCCAATCACTTGGCCACAAACACCATCATTGTGGTTGAAACAGGCATCTGCGCATCTTTCAACCCAGTCATGAAAATAACCGAGTGGTCGTTTTCTGGGTGGGATGCTCCTGTTCGGTAAACCAGGACGTTGGAGAAGCAACAAAGAAACGCTTTAAAGACCCCCTCCCCATGCTTCATCCGGGCGGGGGCGGGTGCTGGGACGGGGAGGGGACTCCCGCCCTCTCCCGCTGCTCTACTCAGCTCAGCAGATGGTCGTGCCCTGGTCCCTGAGAGCACAGATAAAACAAGAATTTCTAAAGCGTACGGAACCGACTTCCGGTGAACCGTGCACATTCACACAGTCAGCAACGCGGACCACCCAGGGGCGCACGTGCCGACGCGCGGACACCTGCTCCCGCCGCACGAGGATGAGTGTGTCACAGGAAAAATCCTCCGTGCGGAAACGGTTCCGCGAGGCTCCGAGAGACACAAGCATGAACACACAATTCTGTGTTCCCGGAGGCTCTGACCCAGCGCGTGTCAATCACAGAGTAGTTCCGTGCACTTACTTCACTTTGGGGAATTGTTTTTTTTTTCAAGAAACAGAAAAAAGAACCTGTCTATTCAAGGTCTACCAGACAAAGCATGACGGGAATATCTGTCACAGGGGCCTGGGCTCGGTCGGTCCGCGCTCCGCCGGAGCGGGGGACTTTGGGCGGAGACCACCCGAGGCAAGCCCAGAAGAGATGGGGACCGTACCCGGACACAGAGGCGGGAGGGAGGGGGACGAAAGGGGACGGGAGCGGGGGCGGCGCGGCCACCTACCACTTGAGCCCGCATGGCCTCCTCCTCCGGACGCCCCGCCCACATCGGCCTACAGCGCGTGCGCGGGAGGCGGGTCCGAGGTAAAGCCGCCTCCTATTGGCACAGAGAGACGCCAATCAGGCGGGGCGGAGCGGATGTAGTGGAGAGGCGTGGCCTAGAGCGGCCGGAGGACCACATCGTCGGGCTTTTGGCAGTGGGGACCCTTGTGTCCGGGGTTCGGCTCTCATCCTCTCCTTGACCCCCGGAAACCCGTCCTCACCTGCGCGGGTTTACAACGCCCAAGTCCTCGGAGGAGTCGGGTCACCGGAGCACGTGGGTGCTGAGGACGGCGCACGCTTTGCGGATGGTTACGACCTAAAATCCAAACCTTGTACGTGTGAAGGCGGCAGGTGACGGGTCCTCTGCACTGTCTTACCTGAGTGGGGACACCTACAGGCAGGGCGTGAGGAGGTGGAAGCCGAGGAAGGCGCCTGCGGTTAAAGCACCTTCCCTCCCGCGCCCCGCCCTGCGCCCCGCAGTGCCTCCCTCCCCCCACCCCCGTCCTGGAGGCCTCGTTGCCTGGGGAGTTGGCCCCGCAGTGGACAGCGCTCTGGGCATGAGCCAGGTGGTCCGGTGCCAGCACACGCGGGAGGGAGACAAACGGGACCCGCTGTGACAGGCCAGTAGTGCCAGCACACACTCGGGGTTAGTCCCAACTCCTCCAAATTAATGAGCAAGTTTACAGCCATCGCTGCAAGGACAAACCCTTTAATGCTCCGAACTAAGATGAAGTGCAAATCCTTCTATAAACTAACCACTACAACAAAGCCAACCTTCTGTTGTAGGCATCCCTTGAAGTGTAATTTTTCCTTAAATTGCATCACTATGAGCAAAGCCTGTCCTACAAGTTGAAACTCCTAGGTCACGTGAGTAAAAATGCAGTCTTATCTAAGGTGGAACACATGCTCCCTGGGAATTTGTGACTACCAGAGTATGGGCTCTGATTCAGAGCTGGGGCCCCAGTAATCACTGGGAGGAAGAGATGGGGGTGCCAGACACCCCCACATCATGTGCATCGGACTTGGGCTTGGCTGCTCCTGCCTGGCTTTCTGTACATCTATCAGCTGCCAGAAACTCTCTTCACTGTGTTCTCCTTAATAAAAATTTGGTTAGAATCGGCTTTTTGTAAGCAGAGTGCCAAGAGGCACTTCAGAAATGCAGTGTGTGGCTGGATGGGGCCTGAGGTCATTCCCTTCATGGTAGGAAGATTGTCAACAGAGACCAGGCACTGGAGGGGGCACAGGGAGGATGTGGCAGAATAAAAAGATGGACAAAGTCAAGGACACCTGCAGGGGAGGGATGCAAAAGTCCCACTGCGCACTGTTGGTTCACCAACTGACATAGTTCTTTACTTTTATTTCTTTTATTTTTTAAATGCAGACTGTTTAGTGAAGACTGGCTGTATTCAGAAGACCACCAGTCAAGGCCCCCAAATTTAAAAACTGATCAACAGCCTCTTACGATGCTGGTGTAGATGGCAAAGATGTGGCTGGGAACACCAGGCCCAGAGTCAGACACTACCTTCAGTGTGTCAGTGAAGGGCGGGGGGTGGTTCAAGCTTTAACAACAGCCCAATGTTCCCTGACAGCTCTCACGGCAATATCTCCAAGCAAGTGTCCCTTCCAAGTTTCCTGATGGGATGAACCCCATGAGAGCCCTGGCAGGACCTCCCCGGACAGTGGGTGCTGCTGGGAGGTGCAGAGCTCCCCAGCGCTGTGGAGGGCAGTGCCCGGGACTGTAGGAGATTGGCTGCCCATAGCTGCCCGAGCACCCTGATAATAGGTCTGCTCACAAGGGAGCAGCCAGCTGTCTGTGAGTATGACATGCGCGGATGTCTCTCTCCTTTTATTGTTTTGTTTTGTTTTCCCTCTCGTTTTTTTTAAAGGCTAGTCGATAGTCAACGAGTTGATTTAAGAAGCCAAAGCAGGACTTCCTACCAGCTGAAGGAAGTAATGAGGTTCCCATCACAGGAAGCATTTAATTAACAGCTGAGAAAACATCTGGTGTGGATGGGTGGCAGTATCTGAGTATCATGTAGGATGTTTTTCTTGGCCTGGGTGCTACTTCCTTAACATGCAGATCCTGGGCCCAGAAACCTGGAACTCCCTGAGCACCTACATGAGGCTTATCACCAATGCCTCTAATTTCAACTAACAGACGTACGACTTACAGGTCTCCTCATATTGGTAAATCTTCTCGGCTAATCTGAGTCTGGGCCTATGCAGGGAGGGGTTCTGCTCCAGGAAGCTGGGGCCAGGAGAGTGAGGCAGGCCAGGAGAAGGGGTAAGAACCAGGGTGCTCTGTTGAGGGGGGTCCCCATCATGGTCCTTTCTGAACAGAGAGCACTTCAGCTCTTTCTGTAAGAGGTTGGCATCACTTCTGTGCTTGTTTCAACGTTTTAATATTCTGTTAAAATGGATGGGACCCTAAACAAATAGGAATAAGTTTAATATTTTTAAAAGCTAACACGCCCTAACTGGTTTGGCTCAGTGGATAGAGCATCGGTCTGTGGACTGAAGGGTCCCAGGTTTGATTCTGGTCAAGGGCATGTACCTTGGTTGTGGGCACATCCCCAGTTGGGGGTGTGCAGAAGGCAGTTGATCAATATTTCTCTCTCATTGATGTTTCTAACTCTCTATTCCTCTCCCTTCCTCCCTGTAAAAAAATCAATAAAATATATTTAAAAATAAATAAATAAAAGCTAACACTCAATGGCAAGAGTATGTTAGAACATGTCTTTGGAGGACATGTCTGGCCTTTTCACCACCGCCCACCGGCTTCTTAAATCAACTCGTTGACTATCGACTAGCCTTTAAAAAAAACGAGAGGGAAAACAAAACAAAACAATAAAAGGAGAGAGACATCCGCGCATGTCATACAGACAGCTGGCTGCTCCCTTGTGAGCAGACCTATTATCAGGGTGCTCGGGCAGCTATGGGCAGCCAATCTCCTACAGTCCCGGGCACTGCCCTCCACAGCGCTGGGGAGCTCTGCACCTCCCAGCAGCACCCACTGTCCGGGGAGGTCCTACCAGGGCTCTCACGGGGTTCATCCCATCAGGAAACTTGGAAGGGACACTTGCTTGGAGATATTGCCGTGAGAGCTGTCAGGGAACATCGGGCTGTTGTTAAAGCTTGAACCACCCCCCGCCCTTCACTGACACACTGAAGGTAGTGTCCGACTCTGTGCCTGTCGACGTGACTGCTGTGCCTCGTGAACTAAAGTTGCGGAAGCATAAGAACTAATAGATGGCAACACGGCATCAGCAGACCTTGGAAGAAAGGGGGTTTGCCCCTGGACCGCAGCTCTGGCAGGCCTATCGCCTCTGGGTTTGTGCCCCAAGCAGCTGTTCAACAAAGAACAAGGTTGCATCAGCTGCCTCGAGATTGTGTCTGTCCTGAGCCTGCCCGCAGCCGATTAGTCGAGAAGATTTACCAATGTGCGGAGACTTGTAAATCACGGGTCTGTTAGTTGAAATTAGAGGCATTGGTGATCAGCCTCATGCAGGTGCTGTGGGAGTTCCAGGTTGCCGGGCCCAGGATCTGCATGTTGGCTGCTGAGTCTCAAAATTTGCAGAGTGGAGGAAGCGGCATGCGATGTTCACGTAGCTGAGTGGGGCCCGAGCCCGGAGCCAGGAAGAGTTAGCATGTGCGGCCTCTCCCTCCTGGCCCCTTTGCTCAGAGTGACCGAAACTCACAGAGCCTACTTCCTGACTGTGAAGGGGTGACGGCAGTGGGGGGCACACAAACTGTGGGCTGCCAGGAAGGGTGAACAAGTTCTGACATGTTTACCTGTTACCCCTCACGGGATGATGCCTTGGCTTCTTGTCAGCCACTAAAATGAAGAAATGTGGCCAAGCCTGACTGGCGTGGCTCAGTGGTGGGGCCAGGAGGTCATGGTTTGATTACCCGTCAGGGCACATGCCCGGGTTGCAGGCTCAATCCCCAATGTGGGATGTTTCTATTGCTCTCTTCCTCTCCCTTTCTGAAATCAATAAAAATATCCTATAAAATAAAAGCCTAATATGCAAATTGTCCCCTCGACCGGAAGTTTGACCGTTCACTATGATGTGTGCTGACCACCAAGGGGCAGCGTGGAACACGACAGGCATTGGCAACGCGGCGCTGGCAGTGGGTGGCAGTGGAGGTGCTCCTGCCCCAATGGGCCCCGATGAGTGTAGGACTGCGGCGGGATGGTGGAGCAGGTGAATGGGTGGCGCCAGGCCAAGGCGGGTGTGAGCAGGGTGACCAGTTCTGGCAGCAAAGGGTAGGGATGCCGCACGGCTCCCAGGCGCTGAGGGAGTCGGGTGGGGGCCCAATGACTCAGGCAAACGGGGGTGCACGGGGGTCTGGGAGCCCAGGTGCTGCCCAGGGCCCAGAGGTCAGCTGGGACGTGCCCTTCCACGCCAGACATTCGCGCTTTGATCGCCAGCCAGACCTAGGGACTGCACGTGAGCACAAATTTTGTGCACCGAGCCTCTAGTATATTTATTAAAAGAAAGAAAAATAAACATGACAAAAAGGTCAGAATGTGGGTTGATGGGTGGTGTCCACCAGCAAGGACCCAGGCCAGGGCTCCTTCAGCATCCTCCTCCCTTTCCCATCCCTAGGACCCTGAAAAACCCCGGGGCATCTAGGGTCCTGACCACCTCCCTGGCTGCTCTGGGTCTCAGGTTTGTGGGGAGTGAGAGGGCCCCACCTCACCGCACACTGACCAGTTGCATTTGGTCTTACTTCCCAGAATGTCTTCAGGTCAGTCCTTAAAACCCACCCCTCAATAAAGGCCTCTCAGCCAAGAAAAGCACCACTCTGGTCCTGGGAATGAGGTGGAGTTCAGTCAGGGCAGCTCAGTGGTAACCCAGGACCCAGGGGTGTGGGAGTCTCAGATGTGCTCTGTGGCCGGGAGCGAGGGCTGTCTGGGGAGAGACATGGTTATTTTTGCTTTATGAGGTTAGGACTTCCTGATGGGACGTGTTTGGAAATGCAGGAAGTGCGT